AAAAAAAAAAAATAAGATGTGCCAAGTGCATTCTTTCCTTTAGGGTTTCTACCTCTAGGTCTGCATACATTTCATTGTATTTGACATTGTCTTCTCAAGGTGCCCATTGACGTGTTCTGTTCATCTCTTTGAGGTCATCATTTCTTCTTTTTCCCCACTACTCTTTGATTAAGAGCAAGTTTCAGAGTCTGCTCTGACATGCCCTTTGATCTTATGTTTCTTTCTTGTCGTTTTGACGGCCTTTTGCTCTCTTCATGAGTGATGTTATTGATGTCATCCCACAGCTCATCAGGTCTTTTTGGACACTATTGTTCAATGCTGCAGCATCACGCTGTGTACCCTCCGACCATTGGTCTGCAACCACTGGCCTGTTGTCTCCCTGCTTCTCAGTCACCTTTCTGCATGACTGGCCTTGAGCTATGTGAGTCTGCCGGGGGATTTATGGACTAATATCAGACTTATGAACTTGAGTTAGACTGGGCTGGATTGCTTTCTTCATATATAGTTACTTCTTGATATAAAGTTCTTTGTTATACATATGTGAGTGTCACTGGATTTATTTCTTTAGGCAACCAGTCCTACCCTACCTTGTACTAGTTATTGGAGGTGTTGTGTTAAAGTGTTGATTTTTGATTTCTCCTTTTTATGTGTGGGTTGATTGCTGTAAATTGCCCTCTGATCGCTGCTTTTTCTGTGTCCTAAAGGTTTAGGTATTTTGGATTATTGCTTTCATTAGTTTCAAGGAATTTTTCAATTTCATTTCTGATTTGATCTATTAACCAGTCTTTAAAAAAGACATTTATTGACTTATACTTCACACATCATGCAAGGGAATACTTTAATCATCTTAGAAACTTTGTGCAAGTTACCACTATTAATTTCAGAACTTTTTTATTTTTGCATGCATTGCTGTAACCCCCCATTTTCCCAAAACATTCCCTGCTGTGCTGTATGTAATTACTTTTTGCTTGAAAGGATGCAGTGAGAATTTCTCTCATTTAAAAAAAATGACCCTTCGCCTTTTCACGAAGATGGCGCCGAAGCCGAAGAAGGAAGCTCCGGCCCCTCCCAAAACAGAAGCCACAGCAAAGGCTTTAAAAGCGTGCTGAAAGGCGTTCACAGCCACACAAAAAAGAAGATCTGCACATCACCCACCTTCCGGCGGCCCAAGACCTTGAGACTGAGAAGGCAGCCGAAATACCCCCGGAAGAGCGCCCCCAGGAGAAACAAGCTGGACCATTATGCCGTCATCAAGTTCCCCTTGACCACAGGGTCTGCCATGAAGAAGATCGAAGATAACAACACACTTGTGTTCACTGTGGATGTCAAAGCCAACAAACACCAGATCAAGCAGGCTGGGAAGAAGCTCGGTGACATTGACGTAGCCAAGGTCAACACCTTGATCACCTGACGGTGAGAAGAAGGCCCATGTTCGACTGGCTCCTGACTGTGACGCTTTAGATGCTGCCAACAACACTGGAATCATCTAAAGTGAGCCCAGCTGGCTAATGCTAAATAGAAACGTTTTCAAGATTAAAAAAAAAAATGACCCTTCAAGATAGGTGATGAGGAAATTTTTATAGGAAAGTAGAGAACAAAGAAATCATACATACATGTTCATAAAATATTTAGGGAAGTTATGCATATTAATTAGAGGCTGGGCTAGATT